GCAGTGTGAAGCACGTCGGATTTATGTGCCTGTTTTCTGTATTTCCAGATAAACGAAGAGTAAACAAGTTTTTCTAAACTCGTGCACGCGTCCACGGCTCATATTGTTCGGGTGTGCAACACAGATCGATTTTAAAATAACACTAAATCATTGTTTGGCTGAAAAGTAGCAGAGGTCAGAAACAAACCTTGATAAACTTTTTCCCTTTTTTTATTTTCAGTTTCGATGAACTCTTCAGACGCCACCTTTATCTTCTGAACCCATGCCGTCCTGACGACAAAAACACACACAGCTATAAAAAACAAACAGAAAAACACCACCCAGTGTGCTGCAGCTCGCTGTGTGCAGCTACCGCTCATTGATGTTGTCAGTCCTCAGAGCGTAGACTCTGTCGATGTGCGAGATGTGGAAGATCGGCTCGTCGCTGGACGGTTCCGGAAGCTTCACCAGGACTTCGTTCAGCAGCACAGGCTGGAGGAGACAAAAGATGGTCGTCACGCATGAAAATACACAAACAGAAAGTAATTACAAGTATCCTGTATGTGTGTGTGTGTGAGAGTGTGTCTGTCTCTTACAGGTTTATACATCTTGAGCTGCACATTGTTCTTGTTGCTGAACAGTTTGTCGGGCCCAGATGAGGTAAACTGTTTCACCGCATGAGTTAAGAGCAGGAAGTCGTTGAAGAGGAACGCCCACAGCTCCTTGTTGCTCTTTGCCTTGTGCAGCTGAAAATAATGACAAAATGCGATACAATTAATCGTACTTGTAAGCAACAAACAAACAATGTTTAAGTTCTGGTTTAAGAGTCTTGGGATAGTTAGGAGGTTCACTTTTAGACGTTCTTGGAAAAAGGTTTAGTTTATACGTTCTAGAAGCAAATATTTACATCTGAATAAAAATGTTATAAATAGTAAAACATTATTTCTGCTTCATATGATTAGATCATCAGGCTATGAAAGTTTCTCTTTTAAATCTCAAGCTTGAAAAAACAAAAATGAACACAAGAAGCTACGGAGCCCGTAATGGGACATGGGGGGGAAAAAAAGGATCCTGACTTCTTTGTCGGGATCCTGAAAAAAAAAAAAGTCGGGATCCTGGGAAAAAAAAAAAAAATCAGGATCCAGAGGGGGGTGGGGTAAAAGTCAGGATCCGTTTATTTTTTTCTTAAGGGCTACGTAAGAAGCTGTTTCCCGACTCTGACAGTGTTTTGGTGTTACTCACTTTACCACTGTGCAGAAGTTTCCTGGGACCCAAACAGCTGGTAATAGAGTTAAAGACCAAATTCTGCGAGAAGAAAAAAAAAGCATTTTTAAGAATTCATGGTTTGATTTAGACAGTAAATGGAGATTAGGTTGACTATTAATCTTATTACCTCCAGAGGACCTTCACTCTGTACGTGATTCTGAATCCACTCCAGCCTCTCAGAGTTCTCCTTCTCCCTAACGCCCTCGTTCACCTGCACAGAAAAAGAAAAAAAAAAACTCTTACCAGGTAAATCAACAGACCACATCTGTTTTCAGCCACAATGGAGAGAAAACAAAAACAAAACAGAATGATTGAAATAACCTGTTTGCAGAGTTCCTCAGCCGTCTCCAGAGCCTCTTTCAGGGAAGCTTGGTCACCGTGTCCCTCTGGTGTGCACTCCAGAATCTACACATCGTCACAGAAATTGGTCAATAACTTAAATACAAAACAGAAAGGTATAACAGGTGGACAGGCTGGCGTACTTTTTTAATGTGAAGCGGGTAGCGTGTGATCCTCTGCATGGGTTTCAGCAGGAAGCTGGACAGCGGCATGCCTTTACACCTGTAGTCTGTGGCAATTTTCTGGTTGAAAAAAAAAGTATTAAAATAAAAACTGTTGTTTTCACTTTCATACACGTGACATGGGTCAAATACACAGCTGGACACCACAAACACACTTCTACTATCAGACTAAAAGTTTGGAAGTGTTTGCAGGGCCGGCCCTTGCCAATATGGTGCCGTAGGCAAGATTTCAGGTGGAGCCCCTTGAGTAGTTTTCGAAATCTCACTGCCAATTTACATTCATTCACACACCTAATCAAATAGTTTTGTCTTTGATATTATTTTTTATATTTAGAATCCAGGTTTTCCAATTACAACTGTTAATATTATAACCCATTTAAAACAGAATATCATTAGAATACCTCATACCTGCCAACATTTGCTGACAACAATGAGGAACATCTGTTCATGTTAACGAGCAGCTGTGGAGTGAAGCAGTTCTAGGGGGGTCCAGGGTTTCACTTCCACAGAAACCTTTGTAAAAGATTTACTCAAAACTCTGCATTTTCCAGCCATTTAAAGAACATTTTACTAAATTCTTAAAGGGATCCACAATTAGTTGTGAAGACTTTATTTGATAAACATTTATTTTAACTGTAAAATAAAGACTGTAAAAATACTGTATGTTTAGTTTTGTAAATTTTTAAAAATATATTTTAACACAAATGGAGCCATTTTATTTACACACAAAGCATTCTGGGTAAATGATGACGTGGATAGGTCCTCKGTGTGAGTGAGCTATATCCACCCTGAAGGTTAATCTTGGACAATATCTAAATATGGATGGAGGACAACAGAGCTGCTTCATGGAAGAAGAACCTCAGCTTAGCCTGTTAGCTTTACCATTAGTGCCGATGCTATAATGCCTTATATGTATTAGCTTGGTGCTAGCGCGACAAGCTAACAGGCTAAACTGAGGTTCTTCTTCCATGAAGCAGCTCTGTTGTCCTCCATCCATATTTTCAGTTCCAGGCTGAGTCATTTCTACCTTCTCCTCTCTGTCAACGCTCTCTGGTTTCATTTGAAAGTGTCGATCATCAGATATTGTCCAAGATTAACCTTCAGGGTGGATATAGCTCGCTCACACCGAGGACCTATCCACGTCATCATTTACCCAGAATGCTTTGTGTGTAAATAAAATGGCTCCGTCCGTGTTAAAATATATTTTAAAAATTTAGTTTAAAATTTATAATAACTGAATAGCCTACAGTATTTTTAGTCTATTTTACAGTTAAAATAAATATTTATCAAATAAAGTCTAATATTACAGCTAATCGTGAATAATGAAAAAGAACATTAAATCTGTATTTTATGAAGGCAGAACACTGAAAACCAGACTTTAATCTGAACTTTACCTGAGATCAGAACTGAAACTATCCTTATTTTGTTTTCTTTTTACACACTGAGCAACAGAACTGAGTTTTGACTGCGTCATGAAACATTCTCTGCACCATTTAAGGCCTCATGTAGTAATAAATCATCTGCCAAAGTTACAGTCACCTTCACAACCCTGATTAACCAGTGATTATTCTACAGACTAAATCAACTATACGCTGATAAAAAGTTAAAATATACTGTATAATATTTTGCAGCGCGCCTTAGATGGACGGCGCCCTTAGCATGTGCCCATACTGCCTACGTTACGGGCCGGCCCTGTGTGTTCACCAGATGCACACTTCCAGCCTCACACCTTCCTCTCCCTCCTACCTTGAGGAAGCTCTTGAAGTCCGGCTCGTTGTCCGTGCGGGTCTGCAGCAGCGCGGCGCCGTTGAACTGGCTCGAGCAGAACCGGATGTAGGGCTGCATGTTGGTCAGCTCGGCCGCCAGGATGTCTCCAATCTTCTGCACCGGCGTGATCTCTCCGCCGTTCTTCTTACAAAGACGGAGAGCCCTGCAGAAACATTGACGGTTCTTTAAATACGAACAAACAGCTTTATGTGTTTGTACAGTCAAAACGGTCCACAGCAGGGCTTATAAAACATTTAAAATAGAGGATCTGGGACATTTACTTGACCAGTTTGGTGTTACAGCCCAGCAGTTCGTTCCAGTTGACAAAGATCATGTCCATCTCCGTTTTATTCAGTCGGCCTGACTCAGACATGGGCTTGTAGAAAACCTGCAGACAGAATCACCTCCTATCAGGTCTCAGTGACCTGCCACAGAGTGTAACATATCCTACAGGATTCGAGAGCTTTACCTCCAACACCACCTGCAAGTCCTCCACATATCTCTCCTCAGACTCAATCAGCTCGTCGATATAACCTTGTCTTTTTTTATCCAGGGGGTTTGAAGAGTCTGAGCTGGTCTGGTCTGAACTCCCTGTACCAGAGGAGCAAAAAACATTAATGTTGTGAAAACTGCAAATCAAAACACGTCTGCACTGCCTCCTACTGGAGGAAGAGGAAAACATGACGGATTATTTCTAAGACTTTGAGAAAGAAAAGACAGAAAGCAGGAGAAGGAAACTCAACCTCAGTCAACAAATCCTCACTTACCTGCCACACATTCACCCAAACACAGAGTCTGCTGCTCCCTCTCTGCTTTAACCACATCGTTCATCTCATCCCAAAGGTTCAGAAACTGAAACCTGCACTCTGAAGACATCGCTCTGACGCGCGTCTCTAGTTCCTGCGGTATTTCAGTTTTCTCAGAGTTTGTCTCCGACTGCCTCGTCTACCTTTGTATCGTTATCTTCTCATCTCTGCCGAATCTGTTTGTACCAAAACGGGAGAGCTCCCCCACCCTTTCTCTTTGATCAGAGAAGATACAGCTACAGCTTTTCTACTTTTCATTTGGGAAAAAGCCTGAAAAAAAAAAATGGAATGACTGACCAATTCAAGGTGTAATCCACAAAAATACAAATTTTTAAGACAATGTAACAAAGGATGCGGTTTGAAAAAAGTATCTGCGTTTATAAAAATGAAAAACCCAGAAGACAAAACGGTCTTGCTGATAAAAGTCTGTTCAGGTTTTATCTGTTTATCTAAATCTCATGTTGACAATATAAACAGCACAACACATCTGCGCTGTGGAGCTGAGTAAAATGTAACGCAGCCTGTTTAATAACAAAACCTCACAAAAATGCAGTTTGAAAACAGCCCTTTATTTTCAGTTTGCAATCAGAAAAATACCTGTATTTTATAGATTTATATTTAAAAAATAACATCTTTTGCCAGAAACTGTTGCTTTGTGATCAAAACCCTCACAGCTTGTGTGTTTCAGTAAGAAGTGTTAAATTAACTTAAACTGTTTCTACTAAATTACAATGAGAGGAAAAATACAGCAGCTTGAATTAGTGACTCCTTCATTCTGCTTTACCAAACCGTGCCTGAACTGAAGAAAATCCACAAACACAAAAACTATTAGATCTGTTTTTGCCTTCATTTAGTTTTATAAAAAAAATTATGAACCTTTTTACACATTTCCCAAGAATAAAATTAAATCAGCGCAGCAGAGAAAATGCAGGATTAAAAAAGTGCAACAATACCTCATCCTCATCATCACTGAAGGTTTATTCCTCATGTGGTGAGGAGCTTTAAACATTAAGTTCATACGAGCAACAGACCTGCTTTATTGCTTTTAAATGACTTGAAAAACTCTGACTTTTACTTGTTTCATCTGTGAACAACTTCAAACTCTAAACTTTATTTTAATAATTATTTTATTGTAAGAAGGTCTGATGTGTGATTTGTTTCTAGTAACTATGAGAGACTGAAATTAGGTCACCTTTATAATAAAAACTAAGGTCTTTAAAGGCAAAACCACAAAGCTTTAAGAGTTTACAAAACAGGCACATAAAGTCATAAAATTGAAAAGAAAAAATAAGTAGGTCCTCTGGATGGTTCTTCTTTAGTGAAATGTTTCGTCTCTCCTCCAAGAGACTTCTTCAGTCTGATGAGTTTCAGGTGAACTCAGCCTTATAAGCCCTGCCTCCACATGGTGAGGACAGTGTCCCTACAAACCCAGGAGCCAGGGAGAAAGAGAAATCACACACAMGACAGGCCCTGGAGCAGTGTGGTTATCCTAACTGGGCTTTCCTGAAAGCAGACAGGAAACACAGACAGGATTCCA